TGAGTATTGAAACCCCAGGGTAACAATGTAGTATGAAACCCCTGGGTAACAATGTAGTATTGAAACCCCGGGGTAAAATGTAGTTTTGAACCCTGGGAAACAATGTAGTTTGTAACCCTGGGAACAAGTAGTATTGTACCCTGGTAAAAATGTAGTATTGAAACCCCTGGGTAACAATGTAGTATTGAACCCCAGGGAACAATGTGTTTGAACCCCGGGGAAACAATGTAGAAATTAAAAACCCTGGGTAAAATGTAGTATTGTAACCCGGGGGAACAATGTAGTATTGAAACCTGGGTAACAATGTAGTTTGAAACCCCGGGGTAAAATGTAGTATTGAAACCCCTGGGTAACAATGTAGTATAAAACCCGGGTAAAAATGTAGTATTGAAACCCTGGGAAAAAATGTAGCTTTGTGACCCGGGTAAAAATGTAGTTTTGTAACCGGGAACAAGGGTTATTGAAACCCCCTGGTAACAATGTAGTATTGTAACCGGGTAAAAATGTAGTATTGGCCGGGTAACAATTGTATTGTAACCCTGGTAAAATGTAGTTTTGTAACTCAGGGTAACAATGTAGTTTGTAACCTGGGTAACAATTAGTATTGAAACCCCTGGGTAACAATGTAGTATTGTAAACCTGGGTAAAAATGTGTATTGTACCCTGGTAACGTTATTGAAACCCCGGGTAAAAAGTGTATTGAAACCCCTGGAACAATGTAGTTTTTAAACCCGGGGTAACAATTAGTTTTTAAACCCGGGGAAAAATGTAGTATTGTAACCCGGGTAACTTTAGTATTGTCCCCCGGGGGTTAACATGTATATTTGCCCCTGGGTAAAATGTATTTTGAAACCCCTGGGTAACAATGTAGTTTGTGACCTGGGAAAACAATTTAGTATTGTAACCCGGGTAACAAGTAGTATTGTAACCGGGTAAAATGTAGTTTTAACCCTGGGAAACAATGTGTATTGTAACCCGGGTAAAATGTGTATTGAAACCCCGGGGGAACAATTTTTTTAAAACCCTGGGTAACAATTAGTTTGAAACCCCGGGGTAACAAGTATTTTGTAACCCTGGGTAAAAAATGTAGTATTGAAACCCCCGGGGTAACATGTGTATTGTAACCCGGGTAACAAGTTATTGAAACCCTGGGTAAAATGAGTTTGAAACCCCGGGGTAACAATGTAAATTTAACCTGGGGTAACAATGTAGTATTGTAACCCTGGGTAACAATGTAGTATTGTAACCCTGGGTAACAATGTAGTATTGTAACCCTGGGTAACAATGTAGTATTGTAACCCTGGGTAACAATGTAGTATTGTAACCCTGGGTAACAATGTAGTATTGAAACCCCGGGTAACAAGTAGTATTTGCCCCTGGGTAAAATGTAGTATTGTAACCTGGGTAACATTAGTTTTGTGACCCTGGGTAACATTTAGTTTGTCCCCCAGGGTAACAATGTAGTTTGTAACCTGGGTAAAATGTATATTGAAACCCTGGGAAAAATGTATTTGAACCCCTGGGTAAAATGTAGTATTGAAAACCCTTTGGTAACATGTAGTTTTGAACCCGGGGTAACAAGAGTATTGTGACCCGGGGTAACAATGTAGATTGAAACCCCGGGTAAAAATGTAGAATTGAAACCCCAGGGTAACAATGTAGTATTGTAACCCTGGGAACAATGTATATTGAACTCAGGGGTAAAATGTTTTATTTAACCCGGGGGTAACATGTGTATTGTAACCCTGGGTAACAAGTAGTTTGAAAACCTGGGTAACAATGTATTTTGAAACCCTGGGTAACAAGTAGTATTGAAACCCAGGGAAACAATGTATATTAAAACCCCGGGGTAACAAGTAGTATTGAAACCCTGGGTAAAACTATACACTTCCGGTTCACAAAACTAGATTTAGCTCGTTAAATTTCAATTAGATCTTTTTAAAATGAAAAAAATATCTGAAAGTTCGAGAGAAATATTGAAAAAGAACGACGGTAGTTTCAGTTTTTGTATTTAAAAGGGTGAGAAGGAAGGTACTTTGGCAGAGAGTTGTAGATGATGAAAAAACTGCCGTGGGGTTTTTTGTTACAGTTTAACATTTGAGTGTTTTGTATGTTACAAAATTTACACATGTGTATAGTACCTGCCTTGTTTTTGGGGTTTTTGTTGAATATCATGTTGTGCTGCTGGTTTACTGATTATTTTCCCATCCCCTTGAGGAGGTGTAACCTCCCAACATGCGACCAACCCTCACGCCTCTAACGCTCTCTCTCTCTCTCTCTCTCTCTCTCTCTCTTCTCTCTCTCTCTTCTCTCTCTCTCTCTCTTTCAAGCCTTTTTTTACCTTATTTTTTTATTTTCTATTTCCCTTCCTGGCAGTGTTGAGTGTGTGGTGGGGGGAAAGGGTATTCGTACATGGGACGGTCTTTCAGGGTGTGAGGACAAAAATTACATAGGGGGATATTTAAATCCTAACTAATGCTTACTAGATCCAGGTGAGAAAACAGTAATAGTGATGTGTGGAAACTGCGCCCAGGGTGGCAGGTTAATAAAATGTTTCCCCCTTTTTTACTAAAAAGATATTAAACGGGCGGGGGGCCCCGGCCTTGGAGCCGGAAGATAAAAGAAAGCATTGGAAGCCCACAACGATACGTCTCGGGGTGACCGACCTCGTTACCTCAGAGTATCTCCTCCCGGGGGTGCTGCGCCCCACCAACTGTAGCTTTCCGTGGAGCCCCGCCCCTGCATAAACACTCGGGCTCCTACGAGTCCCGCTCCCCTCGGGGTTTTTTCACGGAGAACCCTCGGGAGTGCACAGACGTAACGAGTGCGGCCCCTCACTACAAATTGCCCCGTCAAGGGGCCAAGTGCCCAACATCCCCGGGCCCGTACAAATTTGCTTCTCCCCCCCCCCCACCGGCTTCCAGGGAGACGGGAAAAAAAAACACTCATGGCAGTTAGTACTCCCACTTCTTGAACATCCTTTCCCCCCTTCATCTTTTTGGGAGGATGGTACAGCAATCATCCTACTTCACATTAAGGGCCCGCCGAAAAAATCTCTTTATTCAGTCTAAAGGAAAAAAATTCCTGGGCACCTTTCACAGGAAGGATTCTCTTCGGGATTTTATTTTTTAACCCTACTTAAGACTTGGGGTTCATGAAAGCGAAACCATTCCTTCACGTCACGGCAGGATTTCTCCGTACGACCTTCACCTCTCATAAAGGAGGCCTTTTTTTATCTGTCCCCCCCCTTGAACCCCCTAATGAACTTCTTCGTCCTTTGCCCCCCAGCACCCCCTGTTTTGTTTTGTAAAAGTGTGGTGTAGTTGACGATCCTCAGTAAAACCTCCCAAAGATTCTCTTCACTCAACACGACCTTTTCCCCTCACTTCCACGACTCTTCACTTTTCCCCTTTCATACAGACATCTTCCACTGTCTGTCGTCACAGTAACAAAACAACGACCCGACACAAGCCAAAACCCACCGGGCTGAAAAATTTCATAACTAACCCACAACATAATTTCTCCAAGTTGGGGGTTACTTGTGACTTGTGTTATAACAACTTGGCCAAGATTTTAAAAGGGTTTTAAATCTTAACAAGACAGCATCTGAAAACTACCTGAGGGAGCCTGTCTCTTCCTTGTGGGCCCTCGAGACTGTCTTCCTTGTATTACCGATGACTCCTCCTATGGGTTGTATAACCTTTGGGGGTTTTTAGCGTCCCTCACCTCAAAATTTTTTAAACCTTTCCCGCACCGCAGAGGTTTCTTAAACCTTAATATCTGACCTCCCGACGATGTTTGACTGATCTCTTCCCGGCTCTCAAGGTCACAAGTAGAACCTTACCTGTCTGTGTGATCTTGGATGTACTCTAGGAGCCACGCGTCCCTGTGTACTCTAGGAGCCACGTGTCTCTGTATACTCTAGGAGCCACGTGTCCCTGTGTACTCGAGGAGCCACTTGTCCTGTGTTACTGGTATACTAGAGTTGTGTATGCATGGCTGTCTCTTCCTCAAACCTTGTATTCTTGTATTTATACAATATTGACGGTGAAGTGACAATCCCATACAGTCCCCGGGGGATGGTAGATGATCAGCTTGGTCCGAGGAAGGGAAGGGCAGCCCCGCTTCCTTGGATGAAGAACTCTTGAGTAGCATCAAGATAGCACCCTTCCAGCACTCTGAATGGCTAGACACTTACTAACATACTGACAAACAATTTAACATATTAACACCAAGTAGTAGAATTAACAGTTAACATTAACTGAAGCTAGAATAACTAATTAGCATTGTTAATTCTGCGCTGCTCACTACTGCAGACAGCCCACATGAAGACAGCTCTGGTGAGAACAACATATTTGCTCCTGTAGCTGACGTCCTCCCTCTGAAGAGGACCTCAGGTGGAGGTCGAAATATGCAGGTTCTTCCTGTTCAGTGATTGTGTCACCAGGTGGCAGCACAAGCTCTTTCATCTGACAGCTCTGTCATCTGACACCCGAAAAGTTGTACACTGTTATGGTTTATTGATGAACACTGGAATTTGTTCTTCAAGGAACAACTTGACCAAAACAAAGCCTATTGTCATTCTTTCTTTGTTCATCTCATAAGTTGTTTTTGTTAATTAATCTTGACCTGACATGTTATAAACTGAGGGACATGATTATCATGTCAGTCTTGTTTAATATTGACCATAGAGGCGAGAGATAGAAGATGATAGTTTTCCACTCTAAGTGCCACTCTAAGTACCACTCTGAGTAAGCTAACATGCTTGTTTCACTCTTAAATAACGCCACAGTGCCAGTAAACTAGCATCACAGCGAGTTCCTGCACTCTGAGCCTCCCTTGAGAGTGCCACATCACCGCCTTAGAGGCGAGTCTGTCACTGCAGTAATTTTGCAAATTTTACTCTTCCACGATCTTTATTAGTGCCATTGTGGCAGTGAGTTTCTATTGATTGCTTGGTAGTAAGTGCCAGAGTGCTGTAAATCTAACACTTGTTTTCCCCTCGTGCCCTCTGTGGTGCCACAGACGTGGATGAGTGCCAGAATGACCCGTGTGGTGCCAACGCCGTCTGTCTGGACAGTGTGGGTAGCTACTCCTGTCAGTGTCTGGAAGACTACACTGGCGACCCCTACACTGGTTGTGTTGGTGAGTATACCCCTGTGATACACACCTGTCTGAACACCCACAACACACCTGTATCTACACCCACACGTAACCACAGTTGCCTGAACACCCACAACACACCTGTATCTACACCCACACGTAACCACAGCTACCTGAACACCCACAACACACCTGTATCTACACCCACACGTATCCACACCTGTCTGCACACCTATAACACACCTGTATCCAGACGTATCATAGACGAAGGTTTAGTTATAATTGAAAGTTTAACTAAACTATTACCAGACAAGATACGCAGGTAATTAATTGTTAATTGAGCCTGTGTGTTGAGTTTTAATTACTGTAATTAATATAACGTGAGGTGAGCGTTGAGGTGTTAAGATGTAATTACCCTGGCAGACATTGACGAGTGTACAGCATACAACCGCCCCTGCGGGATCAACGCTCTCTGCCAGAACGCCCAGCCCGGATTCACCTGTTTGTGTCCTCAGGGCTTTATTCCCAGCCCTACACCTGATGTGGCCTGCGAGCAGGTGAGTGCACCTTCACCTGTGTGTGTCGTCAGGAGCTACGTGTCTCTCTAGTCACGACTGTACTTCTAGGTTTACCGTAGACGAGGGTGGTGAATATCTTGTAGAGAGCGGGACTGATTACCCCATCTTGTAGTGTCGCCAGATGTTGACAGTCGCTGGCTGGCGAAATTATCTTCATAATGAAGATATTCAGGTGTTGCACAGGTGTCTAATTTATCAACTTGTTAAGTGTTGTGTGCCACTAATACTAAGTTACCACTATCACTACCATTATTACCGCCATCACGACCACCCTCAGGCGGACGTCAACATCCTGTGTGTGTCCAACTTCGACTGTGTCAACAACGCTGAGTGCCGAGAGAATCAGTGTTTCTGCCGGGATGGCTTCAGGGCCGTGGGTGCCGAGTGCCAAGACGAAGATGAGTGCCAACTCTCCCCCTGTGGCCCAAATGCTCAGTGCCAGAACGTGCCTGGCAGCTTCCAGTGCACCTGTAACTTTGGTTTCATAGGGAACCCTCCCGAAACTGTATGCAAAGGTAGGTGGTACGACCCTCTGAAGGTGCGTTGCTGTATCTTGTCATTAAGGTAGTTTCAACACTGTTACAGCATCATGGCTGTAATAATTCTCAGTTAACACACGAACTGATAACGTAAACTGGACGAGGTTTGGATCCTTCAGATACAGTCATCTTGCTGGATCCTGACACTAGTTAGTCAAGGACCCAAACATCGTCCACTTAGTGTTGTTATCATAACTAATGTCCAATATTGAGCGAAACATCAGTATTCATTGTGGTGTAAAGATAATAATATCTTTACTTATCTTGTGGTATATTAAAAGTAAGTGAAGCCTAGTAGTGTCTTGTAATCACACAATTGACTCTTTAAATACCAGATTTACTTATAAAGTAAGCAGGCTCCTCTGTACTTGTAGTAAAGTTGCTTAATGTTAAGTGTGTCTCGTTGTAGCAGCATGATGCTTACTACTAACACTTTAATTACCACTTATAAAGTCTCTAAGTGGCCGTGTTCAGTACTTGATTCTTCTGTGGAGGTTCCTTGATGCTGGCGAGGGAGAGGGCTCGTGATCCAAGGAATTAGACCTGCTCTCTTCTTCCTAGGATCAAATCTGAGTGCCTCCCATTCCCCTGGGCGCTGCGTAACCCCTACAGGTTTAACGCTATCCACCTAAATATAATAATGATAGAGTTTAAACACACATCGTTGGAGGTGTTGAGTGACTCTTGTGAGTGCCTGTACAGACGTGGATGAGTGCCAGGGTCCAGTCTTCCCCTGTGGAGAGAGTGCCAAGTGTATCAACACGGTGGGATCCTTCCACTGTGACTGCCCCTACCCCCTGCTCGGCGACCCCAGGATCAAGTGCTTCCGTATGTGACCCCCCCCCCTGGCAGTGTGACCTTGTTGCTACCCAACCACCACCACTGTTGTTATCCCACCACCACCAATGTTGTTATCCCACCACCATCACCACTGTTGTTATCCCACCACCATCACCAATGTTGTTATCCCACCACCATCACCACTGTTGTTATCCCCCCACCATCACCACTGTTGTTATTCCCACCACCACCACCACTGTTGCTATTCCACCACCATCACCACTGTTACTATCCCACCACCACCACCACTGTTGTTATCCCACCACCACCATCACTGTTATCCCACCACCACCACCACTGTTGTTATCCCACCACCACCACCACTGTTGTTATCCCACCACCACCACCACTGTTGTTATCCCACCACCACCACCACTGTTGTTATCCCACCACCACCGCCACTGTTGTTATCCCACCATTACCACCACCACTGTTGCTATTCCACCATCACCACCACTGTTGTTATCCCACCACCACTATTGCTATTCCACCACCACCACCACCACTGTTGTTATCCCACCACCACCACCACTGTTGTTATTCCACCACCATCACCACTGTTGCTATTCCACCACCATCACTACTGTTACTATCCCACCACCACTGTTGCTATTCCACCACCACAACCACTGTTACTATCCACCACCACTGTTTACTATCCCACCATCACTGTTACTATCCCACCACCACTGTTGCTATTCCATCACCACAACCACTGTTACTATCCCACCACCACCACAACCACTGTTACTATCCCACCACCACCACAACCACTGTTACTATCCCACCACCACCACAACCACTGTTACTATCCCACCACCACTGTTGCTATTCCACCATCACAACCACTGTTACTATCCCACCACCACCACAACCACTGTTACTATCCCACCACCACCACTGTTATCACCCTTTGAGTGATATGTGCTCTCCCTTTTCCCCTGGTTATCATAGTGTGACTGTCACCTGTTACACCCATGTAACACCCTGTGTTCTACCTCTCGTGTTCACCAGTTTACTACCATGATGTTCCAGTTTACTACCATGATGTTCCAGTTTACTACCATGATGTTCCAGTTTACTACCATCATGTTCACGCTGGTTACCTGCAGTACAACCTGACTTGTCTACGATATGTAATGTTACCTGGGTGATCCTCTCTCTCTCTCTCTCGCTGTCTGTCTCTCTTTCTCTGTCTGTCTGTCTGTCTCTCTCTCTCTCTCTCTCTCTCTCTCTCTCTCTCTCTCTCTCTCTCTCTCTCTCTCTCTCTCTCTCTCTCTCTCTCTCTCTCTCTCTCTCAATAGGTTCTTACCTACTGACCTGAGTGACCTAATAATTGCGTCTTTCATCTCTATTGTTCACTAACAACAGTGACTGTGGTCAGGTTCGTACGCATATAAGGGGAAACCAAACCCCTTTCTCCTTCTCTCCTCTTATTGGCATTTTCCATAGTACCCATTTCCCCTTATTTATTATGCATCGAAAGTCTTATACCTGTTCCCCTTTGTTTAACACCCTCTTAACCCCTTTGGTTGGTCTAGCATGGATGTCTGTGGCCTTGTACCTTTGGTTGGTCTAGCATGGATGTCTGTGGCCTTGTACCTTTGATTGGTCTTATGTGTCCTTGTAGCTTTGTTTTTGTGTACGTTGTCTGTTGTTGTTGTGTGTGTTTCTGCCAGTAATTATCCTTGTTTCAGTAACAGCATGCTGCACTCTTGGTCTTAAGGTACACGTATATTGACGACCTCAGGGCACATGCATATTGATGGCCTCATGGTGTATATACATTCACAGCCTCTCTGTATATATACACACTGATGGTTTCAGCATGTATACACTGAGGGTTCTAGAATGTATATACATATAATTTTTGTGTGTATGTCGTAGTATAGCAACAAGTAGTGCAATACAGCATAGAAGTTAGTATACTAATTCCTTGTGTACTGCTAATTTTGCATAATTTGCTAATAACGTTTAGTTTAACTAATCATACTAACTGTTAAATTTTGTGGAATGAATGAGTATAGTAATAAGTATTAGCTGTGAAAGCTTCGGGGTTTTGATCCCTTAGCCTGACCCCTTAGCCTGACCCCTTAGCCTGACCCCTTAGCCTGACTCTGCAACTGACTCTCCCACAGCTCCGTGTGAAGGCGTTGAGTGCGGCCCCAACGCCTTCTGTAAAGCCGATGGTATTCAAGCTAGCTGTATGTGTAACCCAGGCTGGACCTATGATCCTGGCAACATTGCTGCTGGTTGTGTTGGTGAGTACTGCTATGTTGATCCTCACCTGGTTGTGTTGGTGAGTACTGCAATGTTGATCCTCACCTGGTTGTGTTGGTGAGTACTGCAATGTTGATCCTCACCTGGTTGTGTTGGTGAGTACTGCTATGTTGATCCTCAACTGGTTGTGTTGGTGAGTACTGCTATGTTGATCCTCACCTGGTTGTGTTGGTGAGTACTGCTATGTTGATCCTCACCTGGTTGTGTTGGTGAGTACTGCAACGTTGATCCTCACCTGGTTGTGTTGGTGAGTACTGCTATGTTGATCCTCACCTGGTTGTGTTGGTGAGTACTGCAATGTTGATCCTCACCTGGTTGTGTTGGTGAGTACTGCAACGTTGATCCTCACCTGGTTGTGTTTACTGGTGAGGATAAAGTAGCGTCACCTGAGTTAGATAACTAACGTGGTGATAATGGTTGGTCATGACTGTGTTTACATGTAAGCTTCCGTAAGTTAATAATGAGTGTATGATTGTTAGTGTTATAATTGAGTATAGGGAGTGTACTGCCTACCATCCTCACCACGTACTCCTGTCTACCATCCTCACCACGTACTCCTGTCTACCATCCTCACCACGTACTCCTGCCTACCATCCTCACCGCGTACTCCTGCCTACCATCCTCACCAAGTACTCCTGCCTACCATCCTCACCAAGTACTCCTGCCTACCATCCTCACCACGTACTCCTGCCTACCATCCTCACCACGTACTCCTGCCTACCATCCTCACCACGTACTCCTGCCTACCATCCTCACCACGTACTCCTGCCTACCATCCTCACCTCCTGCAACATTTTGCAAGATTTACTAAATTTCTTAATCATTTAAATTTATTCAAGTACAGGTACACATAAGTACAGTTACATAAATTATCATACATAGCAGCATATGTCTAAATTACCCACCAGGATAACCCACAAAAGTCAGACAAAGTGACTTATTTTCATTAGGGTTCTTAGTACTTAGTACTCAGTTCTTAGTACTCTTAGTAGCTGTGAGTGGTACTAGTATACAGGAAGTTAAGATAACCTTTCTTACTAGGAATCTATTCCATAATTTTTAAAGAGGGTGGAGGGGTAAGCCAGTAGAAAGCCTCGGTCAGATGACTAGAAGCTCCTGCTGCGGGTCATCATGTGACTACAATTCACGTCAACACTTGTCCTGTTTCCTGACAACCCTTACCTAACGTAGCCTTGTTTGTTACAGACGTGGACGAGTGTTCAGCAGGTCAGCGTCCCTCGGGTCAGTGTGGAGATAATGCTCTCTGTACCAACACTCCGGGATCCTTCTCCTGCCAGTGTCCTCCAGGATTCTCAGGCAACCCCAACACTAAATGTCTAGGTAAGTCCCTCCCTCCTTCAATCTCCTAACATTGTCTAGGTAAGTCAGCAACTAGCACAGACACCAGCTAGCCCAGGCACCAGCTGACCCAGACACCAGCTGGTCCAGGCACCAGCTGGCTCAGGTACCAGCTGGCTCAGGCACCAGCTGGCCCAGGCAGTAGTCGAGAGAGATCTAGATGCTTTAAATAAGCCTAGTATAACAGCTTAAGTAGTTGCAGCACTAGTAACAACAGTAGCTGCAGCAGCAGCAGTAACAGCCGCAGCAGCAGCTGCAGCAGTAACAGCCGCAGCAGCAGTAGCACCTTGTAGAAGCTCACTAATATTCTGGCTTGTTACATAACAGTAGTTAGTGTGTTAGCTAACACTGTAAGCTTGTATAACTAAGAGTGCATGACTGGTCAGATAGTAGCAAGCAAGGGTGTCTGAACCTACCAGGAAACACACACACACACACACACACACATGCACCAGGGGAAGGGAAGCTCTGAACCAGTAGGAGTTATGTAGCACCTGGGAAATTTGAGGTAATCAGGTTTGATCCAAGGGAAGGGATCTTTGAATTAAGAACCCTTGAGCAGCAGCGAAAAATCTTTGTAAGTAGAGAGAATCTTAATGTTAGTGAAGACTTAGTACACACAGGTGTGTATGTTAGTGTTAGAGGTACACACAGGTGTGTATGTTAGTGTTAGAGGTACACACAGGTGTGTATGTTAGTGTTAGAAGTACACACAGGTGTGTATGTTAGTGTTAGAGGTACACACAGGTGTGTATGTTAGTGTTAGAGGTACACACAGGTGTGTATGTTAGTGTTAGAGGTACACACAGGTGTGTATGTTAGTGTTAGAGGTACACACAGGTGTGTATGTTAGTGTTAGAAGTACACACAGGTGTGTATGTTAGTGTTAGAGGTACACACAGGTGTGTATGTTAGTGTTAGAGGTACACACAGGTGTGTATGTTAGTGTTAGAGGTACACACAGGTGTGTATGTTAGTGTTGGAGGTACACACAGGTGTGTATATTAGTGTTAGAGGTACACACAGGTGTGTATGTTAGTGTTGGAGGTACACACAGGTGTGTATATTAGTGTTAGAGGTACACACAGGTGTGTATGTTAGTGTTAGAAGTACACACAGGTGTGTATGTTAGTGTTAGAGGTACACACAGGTGTGTATGTTAGTGTTAGAGGTACACACAGGTGTGTATGTTAGTGTTAGAGGTACACACAGGTGTGTATGTTAGTGTTAGAGGTACACACAGGTGTGTATGTTAGAACTAGCACTTCATGCATGACTAACATTAACATTAAGCATTAACAATAAATATTCAAAAATATTAACCCTAATTAACCTTAATTAACATTAAAGAATATTATCCAGCATAAATTCGTTTTGCTATATAACTTGTATCACATGTATTTAGTCAGTAGTATAACATTTAGTTAATTAACATTAACAAGCATGACGCAATGCTTAGCATTTTAACCTGTATTAACATTAACCAGTATGTTAACCAGCTTGAAGGAGCGTTTGGCAGTGACTAACCCCGCTTGCTTGTTTCCCATATTGTGTGTGGCACTGTGACTCTCTGGTGGCACTGTAACTTGTGGCACTCTGACCAGACGTTAACGAGTGCCTGGGGCACCCGTTCCCCTGTGGCCAGAACGCCAAGTGCACCAATACCCGGGGCAACTACACGTGTTCCTGCCCTCTGCCCCTGAGTGGGGACCCTCTTGTACAGTGTGGTTAGTACCCAACCTTCCCTCTCAGTGGTGACCCTCAGTGGTGACCCTCAGTGGTGACCCTCAGTGGTGACCCTCAGTGGTGACCCTCAGTGGTGACCTCGGTGACCCTCAGTGGTGATCCTCAGTGGTGACCTCGGTGACCCTCAGTGGTGAACCTCAGTGGTGACCTCAGTGACCTCAGTGGTGGCCTCAGTGGTGACCCTCAGTGGTGACCTCGGTGACCCTCAGTGGTGAACCTCAGTGGTGACCCTCAGTGGTGACCCTCAGTGGTAACCTCAGTGGTGATCCTCAGTGGTGACCCTTAGTGGTGACCTCAGTGGTGAACCTCAGTGGTGACCCTCAGTGGTGACCTCAGTGGTGATCCTCAATGGTGACCCTCAGTGGTAACCCTCAGTGGTGACCTCAGTGGTGATCCTCAGTGGTGACCTCGGTGACCCTCAGTGGTGAACCTCAGTGGTGACCCTCAGTGGTGAACCTCAGTGGTGACCCTCAGTGGTGACCTCAGTAGTCTCCTCAGTGTGGTTAGTAGTTTTTTCTTAGAGGTTCATCTGGCAACACTGTCTTACTGAACTTGTCCATGCGTGTTATGTTAATGTTATATTCTTCTCTGCCCCTAAGATAAATCAGTGTTATAGAGATTGTTCAGTATGTTCTTCTTTGCCTTGTATTCTCTTTGTGTGTTTGTGTTACTAAGGCCCCACCATATATATGTTATCAGTAATATTGTGTACAGTTACGACACTACAATGGTGTAACACCATGGTGTAACACCATGGTGTAACACCATGGCATCACACGTCACATGAACCACACCACACCAGCCTCAGCACATCTGAACCATAACACCACAAGCATCACACCACCTAACGATAACACCACAGTCATCACACCAACAGTACAATACTGTCCTTAATGTGAAACACACAGTACGCAGCTTGAAGAATTGGAATGACAAGGTCCAAGAGGTCATAAACCAGTAAATATGATAGTCTAGGAGGTGGAGTCAGGAGCTGAGACTCGACTTCCTTACACATAAGCAGGTGAATACATGAGACATCCCTCTTGAAAGGCACATGTGCAGTACATAGAATTGCTATTAACACATGTGTTGTGGGTACAGATGTGGACGAGTGTAGTCGTGGAGGGTCGTGTGGTGCTGGGGCTGTGTGTAGCAACACTGTGGGCTCCTACACCTGCACCTGCCCACCCAACACCGTGGCTGACCCTGACCCCTACACCCAGTGCCTCGATATCATGAAGTGTGCCAATGACGATGACTGCCCTGGCAACGCCCTCTGTCTCCTTAGCCAGTGCATGTGTCCAGAACCCAACATCGGCGATGACTGTAGACGTGAGTACCTCAGATACTGTCTTTCGTGTTCTCAGTACTCTCATGCGATAATAGCTGAGGTTTACAGCCCTCAGGTCGGAATTTTTGGGTCAGGTATAGTCCCACAGGCTATGGTGGTCCTGCACGCCCCTGGAGTGGGGCCAGTATGGCCTGACTATTGCTGTACTCTTGGTAGTTGAGTAACTGTGGCAATAACCATCAGTTAAATTAACATGCCAGAAGCTTCTCATACATGTGTTCCTATACCTGCCAACAGATCCGTGTGAGGACGTGCGCTGTGGCCCCAACGCCGGGTGTAAGTTAATCAACGGCCAGCCAAGGTGTATGTGTCTCCAGGGTTATTCCGGTAACCCCATCGGAGTTTTTGGCTGCACAGATATTAACGAATGTGTTAATAACCCATGTGGCACTGGCGCCATCTGCCGTAATGAACCTGGAACGTTTACTTGTGAGTGTGCCACAGGGTTCGAGGGAGACGCAGCTAGAGAGGGATGTGTGGAGGTCAAGTCTCCTGGGTGTAGCCCCACTCAGCCCTGCCCCTCGGGTGAGCAATGTGTCACTGACGAAGCCATCGGGGAGAACGTGTGCGTGTGCCGTCGCGGTTACACCAGAGACCAGGCCACCGGAAAATGCCGTGACATCAACGAGTGTACTGAGAACCGCATTGACAAGCCTGTCTGTGGCCTCAACGCCAACTGTAAGAACCTGCCAGGGTCCTATGACTGCCAGTGTCCTCCTGGCTTCGTTGGCAACCCCTTCAGCAACTGCGAGAGTGAGTATTTGGTCTGCATGAGTTCCTTTCGCTATAGTTATGTCACAACAATACAGTTTTTCATCATGACTTTAGTATATACTCTATAGATTATTAATTTGAACTTTTGATGATGTATTCTGTATTTTCAGAGTGCAGTACACTGGAATGCACATGTCTGCCACCATACCGCATTGTGCAAGGCAGCTGTGTACTAGCTAACTGCTCCCTAGGTAAGCCATGTCCTGCAGGAGCCGAATGTGTGACCATCCAGGGTGGAGTTAGCTACTGCGCCTGCCCTACTGGATACACCACCCTGGCTGATGGTTCCTGCCACGATGTAGACGAGTGTATCGTGCGTCGCCCTGACGGTCGTCCTGCCTGTGGCCTGGGTGCTGAATGTTACAACCAGCTGGGTGGCTACGAATGTCGGTGTGCTCCAGGCTCTACCGGCGACCCCTACACTGCTGGATGCTCAGTAGCTGTGCTCCAGTGTTCCAGTGATGCTGAGTGTGCTGTCAATGAAAGGTGTGTCCAACCTGGCAAGTGTATCTGTCCTCCGCCCTACTTTGTTGACAATCAAGATGAAAACAAGTGTAAGAGTCCCTGCGAAGCTTTCTCTTGTGGCATCAACAGCAAATGTACACCCTCAGACCCACCCCAGTGTATGTGTCTGCCAGGATTCCTTGACAGAGGACCTGCTGGCTGTGTTGATATAGATGAGTGCCGTGAGAACCCCTGTGGCCAGGGTGCCATCTGTATGAATGAAATCGGAACCTATAAATGTGAGTGTCCACCAGGAACTGTCGGTGACCCCTTCCTTGGGTCTTGCACGGGGACACAGGTTGGTGCCTGTGTGACTGACAGTGACTGCCCTGGAGATCTGGCATGCACAGACACAGGTGCATGTGTCAACCCTTGTGATGCTTTACCATGTGGTGCCAACGCTTACTGTGAAGCTGAAGAACATGCCGCTTGGTGCCGCTGTCACCCAGGTTATGCCGAAGGACCCAATGGTGACTGTATATCTATGTGTGATGGTTTTTTGTGTGGACTTAACTCTCTGTGTATTGTGGCACGTGATGGCCCTACTTGTAAGTGTGAGCCAGGCTTCAGTGGTAACCCCTTTCCTGGTGGTGAGTGCCACATTGACCAGTGCTCGGCCACCTCCCCATGCCAGGAGCCTCAAGTATGTGTCAATGGCAGATGCAAGGAGCGCTGTGAGGGCATCGTTTGTGGCATAGGTGCCAAATGTGACAAGGACACCAACAAGTGTGTGTGTCTACCGTTCTTCCTGGGTGACCCACTACTCCTCTGTGTACCACGTAAGTGAATCAAAAACTGTTTAAATCAGATTTTTATATAGGACCAATTGAAATATATTTTGAATAATATACAATATCACTATGTCAGGGATAATGTTTAAACAGTGTTGACATATATATATATTTACGTGTTGCAGCTGTGACGCCGCCACTGTGTACTCCCGGTTGTGGTACCAATGCCCACTGTGAGTATGGCCAACCCAACAGGTGCATCTGTAATACCGCCTATAGTGGAAATCCATATGAGTCATGTGAGTCAGAGGAAAAGACGGTCGACTGCTCCACTACCAAGTGTGGCACTAATGCCAAGTGTAGACAGGGTGTCCACCGAGTTGACTGTGTGTGCCCCGTTGGCTTCCAAGGAAACCCCTATGTGGAGTGTGTCGACGTCGATGAATGTATTGGCAGTGCATGTGGCATGAACGCTGTCTGTCTGAACACAGAGGGCAGCTTCGACTGTCGATGTCAAGAAGGCTTCTTCGGCAATCCTTTCCAGATGTGTATGCCACGAGAAGTTGTCCCTGACTCAGAACCATGCCAGGAGAGTCCTGAGACCTGTGCTGACATTGCCTGTGTAGGAATCTCGTGTGGCCCCAATGCTGCCTGTGACCAGGGACTCTGTGTCTGTCTTGTAGGCTTTCAGGGAAAACCTGACGACCTCACAGAAGGCTGTCAGCCCTCTGACTGCCGCAACGACCTCGACTGTGATGACGAGGAGATTTGCTTCTCCTTCAATAGACGCCGCACATGTGTGAATGCCTGCAACAAGGTGGAGTGCGGTCCCAACGCTCTGTGTGTGGCTCAGGACCACCGTTCCTCTTGTCTTTGTAAGGAGAACCACCTGGGCAACCCCAGCGACCCAGTGTTAGGATGTCAACCTGCTGACCGCGAGAGTTACTGTGAAGAGGACGATGATTGCAGCGATGGCCAGGTGTGCCAGGTGGACCTGCAGGGCTTGCGTGGTTGTGTTGACCCTTGCCTATCACACACCTGCGGCCAGAACGAGCTGTGCTACGTACAGAGTGGACGACCTTTGTGTCGCTGTCATGACGGATATCTACGTAACCCAACCAACAACCGCTGCCAGAGTAAGTAACGGTGCTACACTTGTGGATCTCGCAGTGCCAGAGTACTCTTAGTGGCTCTCACAGTGCCAGGTAAATACTTCAATAGCTCTTACATTGCCAGAGTTGTCCAGTAGCTATCAAATAAATGGTCATTTGGTCACTCCAGTGGTGAGTTTAATACCAACGTTGCATCTCTCCAGTGGTGAGTTTAATACCAACGTTGCATCACTCCAGTGGTAAGTTTAATACCAACGTTGCATCACTCCAGTGGAAGTCAGTTATACGTCAGTTTAGGAAGTCAGATATACGTCAGTTTAGGAAGTCAGATATACGTCAGTTTAGGAAGTCAGATATACGTCATTTTAGGAAGTCAGATATACGTCAGCTTAGGAAGTCAGATATACGTCAGTTTAGGAAGTCAGATATACGTCAGTTTAGGAAGTCAGTTATACGTCAGTTTAGGAAGTCAGATATACGTCAGTTTAGAAAGTCAGTATCTGCGATAACAAGTTATGCTGCTTCATACCCACTGATTCTGATTAATAAAGTATATGTTTAAAATCTTTAAATATATGCATTAAAACTTGTACACACTGTTTAAGTGAAACAAGTAAAGGTAATATACGATACACTTGTATAAACTCTCTGAAGAAGATTCTGCTTCCCACTGAAACTCCAGGTTCTACATAATATTCAATAATGAGAGGAGTCTGCTTGATCATCTTACTGACGATGTCACCTGTCTCATCCCAGGCAAACAAACACAAACATGCATCGTGGGTATTTACCAAAACATAGTTGCGGTATTTTGTATTAAGTTTGTTAGTAATGTAGTCGATGTCTGTCAGTAGATGGTGTTTATACTGGATGATATATTGACTAGTGTGTGTTGTGTTGACAGAGCCAGCTGTGCCAGACTGTAAGAGTGACGTCGAGTGTCAGGTGACAGCCTCCTGCCGTCCTGACCAACTGGGTGTACTCAAATGTGTTGAAGTGTGTGAAGATTTCAACTGCCCGGCACACTCCTCCTGCTTCGCCGACAATCACCGCGGACAGTGTCGATGTGACCCAGGCTTCACAGGTAACCCCAATGACCGCAGTGGGTGCCGCCTTGTGCCCCGTGACAAGTGCCAGTCTGATGCCCAGTGCCCAGAAAGTGAGAGGTGTGAGGCACAGGGTAGTGTGCGCAAGTGTGTGGCAGTGTGTGACAGCACTCGTTGTGGCCCTGGTGCTGTTTGTATTGCTAACAACCATGCCGCTCAGTGCCAGTGTCCTCCGGGACTCTTTGCTGGTGATCCCAACGACCCTGTGAGTGGTTGTGCCTCCGTCAGCTGCATCATCAACGAGGACTGTCCCACAGACAAAGCCTGCAACAGACTTGATTACACCTGCTTTGACGTGTGCTACGATGCTTGTGGTGACAATGCCATCTGCATTGCTGAGAACCACCGCTACAACTGCAAGTGTCCGCCGGGCTCCAGACCCAACCCATCTGCCGAGATTGAGTGTAAAGCTGTGGACTTATGTGATCCTAATCCCTGCCACTCCTCGGCCACCTGCTCCCGGACAGGTGGAAGCCACCAGTGCTCCTGCCCACCTGGTATGGTGGGCGACCCCTACACTACTGGCTGCCACCCAGAAGGCATGTGCCCCAATGGTGACAAGGACTGCCCTCTTGACAGTGTCTGCATCAACAGTCGATGCTCTTCACCCTGTGATCGTGCCTGTGGCCCTAACACACTGTGTAATGTAGTCAACAGGAAACCAATATGCAACTGTCCACCAGGTTTTCAACCCAATCTAACACCAGACAAGGGATGTAATCGTGTGATATCTTTGTGTAGTAATGACGCACAATGTCAGGGTGGTGTTTGCCTGGAAGGTCAGTGTCGCACAGTGTGCCGTGATAACTCTGAGTGTGCTCAGGGTGAGCGATGCATTAACAACATGTGCATGGTTCCATGCGTCTCTTCCTCTCAGTGCCCTCCCAACCAGGCTTGTAATAATGGTGTGTGTCTCCTGGGATGCCGCACCAACAGTGACTGTCCTGCTGAGAAGGGCTGTGTCAACAGCAAGTGTGAGGACCCATGCACCAGGGAGAATGTGTGTGGCCCCAATGCCCTATGTCATGTACAGGACCACCTTGCACAATGCCAGTGTCCGGAACGCTTCAACCCAACACCCACACCACAGCAAGGGTGCATCCGTGTCCCCTCCTCTTGCACTACTGTTGCAGAATGTAGCCCCAATACTGTATGTGACTTTGGTAAGTGCAAGCCAGTGTGTCAGCAGAATTTACAGTGTGCCCAAGGCGAGAGTTGTACAGGAGGATTGTGTCTCAAGGTTTGCTTTGGTGACGGCAACTGTCTTCAAGGTGAAGTGTGTATCGAAGGATCATGTGTCTCAGGGTGTCGTAGCAACAGTGACTGTCGTGGAGATGAAGTTTGTATATCAAAGAAATGTATGTGTGCCAAGGGCTACCTACCCAGCCCCAACGGGTGTGTAGATGTGGACGAGTGTAAGGAGAATCCATGCCATGGAACAGCTTCTTGTATCAACGTTCCCGGCTCCTACAAGTGTATCTGTCCTCACTTTACTGTGGGTGACCCATATGTGGCACCAGGCTGCCAGAAACCCAGCCAGTGTGTGGACGACAGTGAGTGTGAAGGAGAACAAGCATGTGAGCTGAACACTGAGGGAGTCTACAAGTGTGTTGAGCCATGTAGCTCTGCCGTGTGTGGCACAAATGCTCGCTGCAAGGTGGCTGACCGTAAGCCTCTGTGTCAGTGTGATCCAGGCCATTATGGAGACCCCAACGACCTCTCCGTCGGCTGTGTTCCGGGAGATTGTATCGTAAATGAAGACTGCTCCAGTAATAAACTGTGTGACTTACTCAGCTACAAGTGCATCAGTAAGTACTTCTTCCTTTTCAGTCTATTTTGTTATAGAATCATTGTTATAGACCTCTACAGTGGTTCTTATTTTCACTTTGTTTACAGTATATTAATGATTTCCTCCTTCATTATACAGACCCCTGTGATAACACCAACTGTGGCTTTGGTCGGTGTCAGACTGTGGATCACTCTGCCGTCTGCTACTGTGATCGAGGCTTCCACAGGGACTCTAGTGGGCTGTGTGTGGACGTGGATGAGTGCCATGACACTCCCTGCCACAGGTCTGCTCTCTGCCAAAATACCTTGGGCAGCTACTTATGTGTATGTCCACAGGGCCAGGTAGGTGATCCAGTCACTACTGGCTGTCATACCCCTGGTCAGTGTGTCGATGACTCCTCCTGCCCTGATACTGCTGCCTGTGCCAATAACAACTGCTACAACCCATGTACAAAACCTGGAGTGTGTGGTGCCGGTGCACAGTGTACAGCTGAAAATCATCGCGCAGTTTGCTTCTGTCCACCGCGCTACACAGGCGATCCTCTAGCCAGTTGTGTTGCCCTTGAGTGTCTGGGTCACAACGAGTGTCCTGCTGACAAGTCTTGTGTGGCCAATAGGTGTGTTAACCCTTGTTCCATTGCTGGCGTGTGTGGCAAGAATGCCGGTTGTACACCCCGTGCTCACCTCCACCAGTGCTTCTGTCAGGCTGGCTTCACTGGTGACCCCAACCTCGGGTGTACCATCATCACTTACTGTGTAGTGGAGACAGATTGTCCTTCTGGGGAACAGTGCAATGGAGGAGTTTGTGTCGTAAGTTGCCACCATTAACATATTATTCTGTTTTATTTCATGTATCCATATTGCCAGAATATTGGTGATTGTACACCAATTAAGTACATAATGTTCGTAAAGAATGTGTAATTTATATGTATCCTCCGCAGCGGCATGTACCAGCAACCGTGGCTGCTTGGCTGGACAGGTGTGCCTAGAGGGCTCCTGTGTCCCCACCTGCCGTGCCTCCACTGACTGTCCTGAACTCCAGGTGAGTTGATCTCCACGTCTCCCCACACATGGTTTCTCATCTCCCATTTCTATTTAGAAAATACAAACAGAAAAAAGGTAATATACTATCTGTTCTCATCTCTGTTAACGAGATAAAAAGATGGAGTAAGGGGAATTTATGAGAGAGAGAGAGAGAGAGAGAGAGAGAGAGAGAGAGAGAGAGAGAGAAATTGTCCTCATGATTAGTGCAAATATGGTTTCACACTCCATCTTGTGATAAAGCTACACATCCTGACACTCGTGTAGTATTTTGAGTTTCCTAACTACCTGAGGTAGCATTGTCAACTACCTGAGATAGCAGTGTCAACTACCTGAGATAGCAGTGTCAACTACCTGAGATAGCAGTGTCAACTACCTGAGATAGCAGTGTCAATACTTACCATCTGAGATAGCAGTGTCAACTACCTGAGATAGCAGTGTCAACTACCTGAGCTAGCAGTGTCAACTACCTGAGATAGCAGTGTCAACTACCTGAGATAGCAGTGTCAACTACCTGAGATAGCAGTGTCAACTACCTGAGATAGCAGTGTCAACTACCTGAGATAGCAGTGTCAACTACCTGAGATAGCAGTGTCAACTACCTGAGCTAGCAGTGTCAACTACCTGAGCTAGCAGTGTCAACTACCTGAGATAGCAGTGTCAACTACCTGAGATAGCAGTGTCAACTACCTGAGATAGCAGTGTCAACTACCTGAGATAGCAGCGTCAACTACCTGAGCTAGCAGTGTCAACTACCTGAGATAGCAGTGTCAACTACCTGAGATAGCATTATCAACTGCCTGAGATAGCATTGTCAACTACCTGAGATAGCATTGTCAACTACCTGAGATAGCATTGTCAACTACCTGAGATAGCAGTGTCAACTACCTTAGATATTAATCAAGCGGAATTTTAAATGTCATGTGTGTGTGTGTGTGTGTGTGTGTGTGTGTGTGTGTGTGTGTGTGTGTGTGTGCATTACCTACTAAAGTCCATTAACCAGTGTGTGTGTTACAGGTGTGCCAGAACAACATTTGCGTGCCGGAGATCAGGTGTCGCCAGAACACAGACTGTGGCACAGAGGAGCAGTGCCGTACCAACAGTGTGGGTCAGGCTGAGTGTAAGGAAGCCTGTGATGCACTCATACTGTGTGGTCGCAATGCCCAGTGTGTTGCTATCAACCATGAACCAGTCTGTCAGTGCCCCCAGGTGAGAGCCCATACCCACCCACCTCATCACGGGTTGCTATGCCACTAATACTGCTACCACAAGCAGTAAAGTTTTAGATATAAGCACGGACAACATATGTGAGTAAATCTAGGAGAAACAAACAGTTTAGTGTGTAGGTCCATGGTCTTCATAGGGTGACTAACTTGAGTGTTTCTTGTGGCCAGGGTTACTTCGGCGACCCTCAGGACGAGCGAGGCGGCTGCAAGAAAATTGAGTGTGACGAAGATGATGACTGTGAGCAGAACGAACGTTGTGATAACTACTTGTGCAAGAGTAAGTCTCAGTGTTCATCGTTAGCACCAACAGTACTGTGACTCCCTTGTTTCATGTATCATTCTCACAATATATAATGTTCACTTGCTTTAGCTCAGGTTTCCCAGTTTATAGCCAGTAAAGGCTGTTGTATCAGGTGCACTCTGGTTTATGCCTTAGCTACTTTCTGAGCTTCTCACTCTGCTATATTCAGCAAACTGATTGGCCCACTGGCCTCTACAAGCCACAAGTTGCAAAGTTTGGCAGGACGGAGGCTTCTGGCCCTCCTTGTTCAACACAAGTCATTTCTGTATGTAGACTGAGGGTCAGGCTCACACTTTATACATGGCCACCTGTCTGTGGGTGATCCTGCCTTACACGGCATCTTGTGGTATGCCACTGGCTGCCATCCATAGTTGTAATGTGTTATCTTTTAGACTTGTATTTAATGTTCATAATGACCGAGGTATCTGCCGAGACCTCGGTGATCCTCTTAAGTGAGTCTTCTCTCTATAATACCTGATGGGATTCTGTGAATCCTGCATTTTTAATTTATTATGAGTGGATTTATTGTTTTATTTATTGATTTATTGATTTCTTACTCATTTCTGCAGCTTTGCAAGCTCCTGATGTGTTGATTGCAACATAAAAGGTCTAGAGTTATTATTCAACTCCCCCTGTGGTTGTTTTGCATATTGTATCGCATGTTTGCAATTCTTGCACGCATATATTCTCCACAGAGAAGTGGAACAGAATTCTTCCTCGGTAAGCCATGAGTGTCGTAAGAGGCGACTAAAATGCCAGGAGCAAGGGGCTAGTAACCCCTTCTCCTGTATATATTACTAAATGTAAAAGGAGAACTTTCGTTTTTCCTTTTGGGCCACCCTGCCTCGGTGGGATACGGCCGGTGTGTTGAAAGATAAATATATATATATATATATATATATATATATATATATATAATATATATATATATATATATATATATATTCAAAAACTGGCCGTATCCACCAAGGCAGGGTGGCCCAAAAAAGAAAAACGAAAGTTTCTCTTTTTAAATTTGTAATTTATATGGAGAAGGGGCAAGGTGTGTTGTGTGTTGTGTTGTGTGTGTGTGGTTTGTATTTTAAAAGTGTTATATTAAGAATTAGTTTGTGAGTATCACAGTGATATATAACATGTGATTTTTTCAACAACAGCTGCGTGTCGTGTCAACAATCAGTGTGGGGAGAATGCTCTGTGTATCTCAGAAGCTCACAAGGCCATCTGCTTCTGTCGTGATGGCTTCCAAGGCGACCCCCTCAAAGGATGTCAACCAATCGACGTGTGTGTGGACAATCCGTGTGGGAAAGGTGCTAGCTGCTACAATTTCCGTGGTAACTTTAAGTGCTTGTGTCCCCCTGGCACGGTAGGTGACGCCTACACTGAGGGATGTAAGCCTCCAGTTGACTGTCTTATCGACTCTGACTGCCCACCTTCAGCCTTCTGTGGTGAGGAGAACAACCTGCCTAAGTGTAAGGATGTGTGTGAAGATTCTGTCTGTGGTCCCAACTCTGAGTGCCGCGGGGTCACCCACCGTCCTGTATGTGCCTGCATTAGTGGCTATGAGGGCGACCCCACCGACCTAGTAACAGGATGCCGTCCTCAGGAGATAACATGTCGTCTCAATGCTGATTGTCCACCCAACACCCTCTGTGATGGAGGACTCTGTAGACGTAAGCAGCCCTCCATTATCTGTTCCTTCTCTTATCTTTAATTAATCATTATAATAATTATTATATTCTTTGTTTTGGTTAATGTGTTTTTATGAGTCTTTGGCAACTAATAATGGTATTGTTTTCAGCACCGTGTCAGAGTGATAGTGAGTGTGGACTGACTGAGTCATGTGCCCATGGTCAGTGTGCCAACCTTTGTGACCTGGACCAGGCCTGCGGTCTCAACTCCATCTGTAACATGGTCAACCACAAGCGGGAGTGTTCCTGTCCTCCTGGCTTCACTGGTAAACCAGACATGGAGTGCTATAGGATCCCCACTGCCTGTCAGAGGAACAATGACTGTCCTGCAGGCTTTGTGTGTAATAACGGTGTCTGCAGTCCAGCTTGTACTGGAGACAACGCCTGCGCCCAGAACGAGAAATGCATAACTGGATCCTGCATGTGTAAGTATATCTACAACATCACCACCTCCGTTCACTCTTAGTGTGAATGAAGATGACATAGTCACTGAGACATAGTGATACTTATTGTAATATAATTCTGTTATTACGTCTTGTTTTAAATTTTGTATTTGTATTTTGTTTCATGTATAGTAACGTGTCGTCTGGACAATGACTGCTTCCTGGGCCACATCTGCCTTAACAACATATGTATGATTGGGTGTCGTGCCAATGAGGACTGCACAGCCAGCCAGGCTTGCCTCAATAACCGCTGCACTGAACCTTGCGGTGCCTCTGCCGTGTGTGGCCCCAACGCTGTCTGCTCTGTGGTCAACCATCGTGCTCAGTGCTCCTGCCCTGCTGGCTTCATTCCCAACCCCACACCTAATGTGGCCTGCTCCAGGAAGCCTATTGCTTGTGCCATTAACTCTGACTGCTCTTCTGGCTTCATCTGTAGCTCAGGCACCTGCATGGCCATCTGCTCCTCTAACTCCAACTGTCTGGACACTGAGCAGTGTGATGGCTCCATATGTCGTCCCACTTGTCGTCGTGATGATGATTGTCGCTCAGGAGAAATTTGCAATCAGTTGATATGTACAACAGGGTGTCGCTCAGACGTGGAGTGTCCATCGAAGCATGCTTGTGTCAACAACAAGTGTATAGACCCGTGTGCCTCGCCGACAGCTTGTGGTGGAAATTCTCTGTGTACCGTAGAAAGCCACCGTGTCAAGTGTTCCTGTCCAGAAAAAATGGTCGGGGATCCCTACGTTAACTGTCGCCTCCTTCCAACCTCCTGCACTGACAACAAACACTGTCCTAAGGATATGACTTGCTTCTCGGGTACCTGCCGTTCGCTCTGCAAATCCGACCAAGCCTGCTTCCAGAACGAGCGCTGCGTCGGTGGTGTTTGTAAGGAAATCTGTAATTCAGACACCCAGTGTGGTGCTGGCAACATCTGCGAAGGTCGCTTATGTATATTGGGTTGTCGATCAGATTCCACTTGTCCATCAGATCAATCCTGTATAAACCGTAAGTGTGGTGACCCATGTGAGGAAGGACATGCTTGTGGGACATGTGCAGAGTGTCAAGTAGTGAACCACCAAGTGCAGTGTAGCTGCTCAGCCAACACTGTGGGTAACCCACTCCATGCCTGCACCACACCAACCCGCCAGTGCAGCTCTGACACTGACTGTGGTCTTCATGCATCTTGCAAAGGTGGTTTCTGTGCCAAGTCTTGTAGCTCCTCAGACCAGTGTAACTGTGGTGAGAGCTGCAGTGAGGGTTACTGTTATGCTCAGTGTAGTGAGGAGAGGGACTGCTCTCAAGGCTTCTTGTGTCGTGCTGGTATCTGTACTGTAGGTTGTCGCACAAACACTGACTGCCCACTCACTCACGGCTGCATTAATGGCAAGTGTGGTAACCCATGTGACGATAACTTGTGTGGTAAGAATACCCGCTGCAGAGTGTCAGACCACCGACCACTCTGCTTCTGCATCACCGGTTATCATGGCAACCCCAAAGAAGGCTGTGAGAAGTACGAATGTCTCAATGACAGTGATTGTGGTCGAGAAGAAACCTGCATCAATCGTGTGTGTAAGAACCCATGTCTGGAGGGCACCTGTGGCATCAACGCCCGTTGTCGTGTTCTCAACCGTGCTGTAGATTGTTCTTGTCCTCCCAACTACTTCGGCAATCCGCAGGTAGAATGCAAGAAGGAGATCAACGAGTGTTTGAACAACCCTTGTGCCAACAATGCCCAGTGTATCAACACTGTTGGAAGTTTCATTTGCAGTTGTAACACTGGCTGTCACGGAGACCCCAACCATGCCGGCTGTCTCTGCCCACAAGACCAAGTTGACCCATGCAAGAGGACCTCTTGTGGCCAGAATGCCAAGTGTCGAGATATCTCAGCCAGTGAAGCCGAGTGTTTCTGTCCAGACCATCTTCCTAATGGTGACCCGCTTGTTAAATGTAAGTGCTTGTGTCTTTATAATTGATGTTATCTGAGGTCTCTTTACTGCTCCTCAACACATATATTACACGAACTTTCTACCGATTATATATTTATGTAGTACTATAGTAACTTTAATCAGGGTGTTACTGAGATAATATTGTGTAAGGTGATAGAAACCAGGGGTAGTGTTTGATCTGGAGGTAGAAACCAGGGGTAGTGTTTGACCTGGAGGTAGAAACCAGGGGTAGTGTTTGACCTGGAGGTAGAAAACTAACTCACAAGGTTCAAGACAATGACATCTGCATTAAACAGTTTGCTTACTCATTAAATCTTACTGTTGTATGAGACTTTACAATTCTGAGTTGCATCAAGCACTGTGTTGCCACAGGTACTGGGGACTGCCGACAGACCGGGTGTGGGGTGGCAGCTTCTTGTCTACGTGAAGCTGATGGCAGCTACGGGTGTAGGTGCCGTGATGCCACCTGGATAGGTGACCCTCATGTGGAGTGTGTACCAGGTGAGTAACACCTTCGCTCTCCTTCCAGTCAATGACTTGCCGCACCGTAGATTTTCGGGGTTGATGGATAGACTTCAGTTGCTCGCTCTCGTAGCGGCCACCGCCTTCCTAAACACCAAGATTGTCTTCCCACTAAATGTTCTTCTCGCCTCAGTAGCACTGTCTTCACGAAAAAAGTTCATTAATTTTAGGTTTCCACCTTCTGTGTGTGTTATATGACAACTTCCAGGTCTATCATTGCTCAGTGGGATCTTGAAGGCACGGTTCTATTACGCTGTAAACCTGTTACCCGGGTGTGTGTACACCTCCACACAACACCTGGGTGTGTGTGTATACATCTCTACCTACCACTCAAATGTGTGTGATGGCGTCGTACCTCCTGGTACTACACCCAGGTGGTGTGTGATGGTGGTCGCACCTCCACATAACACCTGGGTGTGGAGGTGGCTACAGATCCACACAACACCTGCATGTGGAGGTGGCTACACCTCCTCGGTGTCCAGGAACGTGGCCACTATGATATGAGTCAACTAGTTGGGTTGATTCTGACTGGGTTGTGAACAAGGATATTAGTGATCTTATATGGGCTTCGAAGCATGTGTTGTCACGGATATCCTGGAGGCCACAAGTGCTGTCCAGGAGATCCTGGAGGTCACAAGTGCTGTCCAGGATATCCTGGAGGCCACAGGAGCTGTCCAGGAGCTCCTGGAGGCCACAGGACTGTCCAGGAGCTCCTGGAGGCCACAGGAGCTGTCCAGGAGATCCTGGAAGCCACAGGAGCTGTCCAGGAGCTCCTGGAGGCCACAGGAGCTGTCCAGGAGATCCTGGAAGCCACAGGAGCTGTCCAGGAGCTCCTGGAAGCCACAGGAGCTAATCTGAAGTCTATAAACTTCTCCACATTTTTCATATATGCTTCGATGTCTATATACAGAATGTAGTGCAGTAATTGTAGTGTTGTAGACTTTTCAAGTCTGTGTGATTAAATTTTCTCATTCTGTGATGATAATTTACCCAGTGTAGAATGGTATGTTTAGAACTTGTGACCTGGCGGTCTTTCCTGTCTGTCCATGAGGCAAAGCAGGACTCAACACAGGATGAGCAAGGTTGGTTTGATCCGAGGACTGGCAGTTTCTGAGTACTATTGTTATTATAGTCAAGGGAAAGTGACATACCACAAGGGTCAATCTGGTTTGTTCCGAGGAAGGAGAGCAACTCAGATTCCTTAAATGAGCATCCCTCCGGCCCTTGAAGATCCCTTGTCAGTGTGGAGTGCACGGTGCACACACACACTGCAGTGTGTGTGCACCGTGCACACACCGCAAAGTGACCGCCACACACTGCACCAGTGACCTCACACACCTGAACATAGGCCTATCATAGGCTGTGTCAGTGTTGACATGTGTGGCCACGTATTATAACGAACATATCTGTGTTATATTTATTATATTACTGAAAATGTCGCTAGTATTGCACTCCCCCGTCTCCCATTTATTACTTCCAGCCCCATTTCCTCTTCATGTCCCATTATTCGTTGTGATACCCTATTATTTTCCCCATTCCCTATATTCTGTGTCTTGCGCTTAATCTTTCCTCCCAGGTACCAGTTTTCTGTACTTCACATCCCGTTTTCTTTTCCGACTCCCATTTGTTTTCATTCTTGGTGCTCCCTGATTTCACACTGGGAGGAATGTAGCGAGAGGCCGAGAGGCCAAGAGGCCGAGGTAGGCCTACCCACCTTCATGGCTGCAGCGGAGGGCAGTCGAACATTAAGCTAAGCTACTAGTGCTAAGATTTAACCTCCTCCCTCCCAACCCTGGCAACTCCCATCCTCCACTAGATCTCTATAACCTAGAATCAAACTAATTTCTAGTTACTCTTCACGCCGCTACGTCTAGGAACACGTGTTCTAAATCCTCACGTCTCAGAACACCCGTTCTAAATTCCCACGCCTTAGAACACCTGTTTTAAATCATGTCTCAGAACACCCGTTCTAAATCCCCATGTCTCTGAACACCTGTTCTGGCTAATCCGTATTTACCCATTGGTATGAATGTGTATACCATTTATCACTATGGTACTCATTGCTCACAAACTAACATTAAACACCTGCAGTACTGCTCAAGTGCTGCCACCATCCAGTATGGTGTTGATAAACACTTTCTTAACCCGCCAGTGACCGAAAGTATCATCAACAGGTTAATGATGCATGTGTTATTAACTCTCCAGTTTACCTCCACCATCTACAGCAATATGCCAAACGTAGAGGTCATATCAGCATATTGTGAATGTAGTTAATTGTATGAGGAGTATGTGTGACTGCATATGTTGGTTCATGACTGTGCTGCCTCACCCACATTGTCTTCGTAAGGACTTCGATGACAGCACCGACTGTTGGTCGACACAGAAGAGATGGCGCTACACAGTTGTCAGTTCCACTCTGTGGCTGAGTGGTTATATTCATGGACTTAACAACTGGAGTATCACCAGTTTGATTCCCAGCACTCCTCATACACTTAATATCGAACACGAGCAAACACGGGATGTATTTGTAACTAAAGATGATCAAGATCCCAAAATAGTATATACATCCTAGTGTTCGCTTGTGTGTCTTTCTAAGCCAGTTTCTGGGTATTTATTAACAAGGTTTATACCGGTACCTAACATAGGTCTTAAATAATGTGTGGATGTCTCCTGCAACCACCTTCATCCACAACCTTCACTAAACATACAACGTTCTCTGTGGCTTCGTAACAAGCCTGGAGTGTTTGATGTCATCGACCCATGTTCCTTGTCGTTCTTCAACAAGTTCACTCCCTTGTAATGAATGTTCATTGTTCTCTCTCATCTGCTAACACAGGTTCTCATTCTCAACACCTGTTACAACTGTCCAGAGTTTGCTGTTAAAATCTGGTAACATGCCCAGACACCTGCTACAATAATTGTAGTAAATTTATCGAGTCACCTTCCCTCAAATATAACAGTTTACCTCTCAGTCTACCATAACATTAGAGACTGAGTGGTAAGGTCACCTCATACCCTAATATCTCCTGATCTCACCACATAGCCCCTCTTACTTAGCAGCATCTCTTAACGTGTGTAATAAATACCTTTGATATCCCAGTGTGTGTTAGCTGTGTTCATTGTAACCTGTGTGGTACTGACCGTGTTAGTGTACGTCTCTATGTGACGTCCCGTCTGCTAGTCTGTCACAGCCCTGGCTTGTGTCATCCTGTCTACCTGTCTGTGTTCTGTCAGATACCCTGCCTACCTGTCTGTGTTCTGTCAGTTACCCTGCCTACCTGTCTGTGTTCTGTCAGATACCCTGTCTACCTGTCTGTGTTCTGTCAGATACCCTGCCTACCTGTTTGTGTTCTGTCAGTTACCCTGCCTACCTGTCTGTGTTCCGTCAGATACCCTGCCTACCTGTCTGTGTTCTCAGTTACCCTATCTGTCTGTGTTCTGTTAGTTACCCTGCCTACCTGTCTGTGTTCTCAGTTACCCTGTCTACCTGTCTGTGTTCTGTCAGTTACCCTGCCTACCTGTCTGTGTTCTGTCAGATACCCTGTCTACCTGTCTGTGTTCTGTCAGATACCCTGCCTACCTGTGTTCTCAGTTACCCTGCCTACCTGTCTGTGTTCTGTCAGATACCCTGTCTACCTGTCTGTGTTCTGTCAGTTACCCTGCCTACTTGTCTGTGTTCTGTCAGATACCCTGCCTACCTGTCTGTGTTCGTAGTTACCCTGCCTACCTGTCTGTGTTCTGTCAGTTACCCTGCCTACCTGTCTGTGTTCTGTTACCCTGCCTACCTGTGTTCTCAGTTACCCTGCCTACCTGTCTGTGTTCTCAGTTACCCTGCCTACCTGTCTGTGTTCTGTCAGTTACCCTGTCCTACCTGTCTGTGTTCTGTCAGTTACCCTGCCCACCTGCTGTGTTCTCAGTTACCCTGCTACCTGTCTGTGTTCTGTCAGTTACCCTGCCTACCCTGTGTTCTTCAGTTACCCTGCTACCTGTTGATTCTCAGTTACCCTGTCTACCTGTCTGTGTTCTGTTAGTTACCCTGCCTACCTGTGTTCTCAGTTACCCTGTCTACCTGTCTGTGTTCTCAGTTACCCTGTCTACCTGTCTGTGTTCTGTCAGTTACCCTGCCTACCTGTCTGTGTTCTGTCAGTTACCCTGCCTACCTGTTTGTGTTCTAATATCTCTGTACATCCTGTATAGTGATATATTAAGGATCATCTTCCTCACTCCCACCTCACCCCCACCTCCCCAACCTCACCTCCACCTCCCCTGCCTCACAGTAGTCCGCTATAACCAGACATTGTACACACACCAGTGTTTCCTGGTGTACCTAATGTAACGCCCGCTTAGTGTGTGTGTGTGTGTGTGTGTGTGTGTGTGCGTGTGTGCGTGTGTGCGTGTGTGCGTGTGTGCGTGTGTGCGTGTGTGCGTGTGTGTGTGTGTGTGTGTGTGTGTGTGTGTGTGTGTACTCACCTAATTGTGACTGCAGGGGTCAAGTCACAGCTTCTGGCTGTGTGTGTATATGTGTGTGTCTGTGTGTGTACGTGTTCATTAGTGCATGTACGGGCGAGAATCCCGTGTTTATTTACTTACATAACGACCATGGTTGCCTCAGCACCTGCCCCAGGTGACACCTGTCCCAGTTGTGACACCTGTCCCAGGTGTGACACCTGTCCCAGGTGTGACACTTGTCCCAGGTGTGACACCTGTCAAAGCAACAGGTGTCACTCATCACGAGGGGGAACCGCTAAACCCGCAAGGGTCATGTAGCACCTTTGGGTAATGGGACCAGTTTTGATCCGGGGAAAAGGGGGAGATGGTTAGCCCAGTTCCTTGGATCAAGAGCCCTTGATGAGGGGGGCGGGGGGCGCACAGGTGTAGCGTTACGCAGGTGTAACAAATGTAACGTAACAAGAATAACTCAATAACATAACTGTCTTACATTTACCTGTTACTCCCCCATAGTGGCCAGTCATGTGTGTACATGTACGTCTGTAGCCCCTGCAGGGTGTACATGCACCTCTGTGTGTGTACATGTACGTCTGTAGCCCCTGCAGGGTGTACATGCACCTCTGTGTGTGTACATGTACGTATGTAGCCCCTGCAGGGTGTACATGCACCTCTGTGTGTGTACATGTACGTCTGTAGCCCCTGCAGGGTGTACATGCACCTCTGTGTGTGTACATGTACGTATGTAGCCCCTGCAGGGTGTACATGCACCTCTGTGTGTGTACATGTACGTATGTAGCCCCTTCAGGGTGTACATGCACCTCTGTGTATGTACATGTACGTCTCTAGCCTCCTTGGTGTTCATGGTCGTGTGTGTACATGTTTGTATTAAATCTGTGTGGCTGACTGATTAGTGTACATGGTCGTATTGTTGGTGTACATGATCATACTATTGGTGTACATAGGGTGCTTGGTGTACATGGTCATATGGTTGTTATACATTATGGTATGGTTGGTGTACATGATATGGTATGTGTACATAGTCGTATGGTTGATTTGCATGGTCGTATGGTTGGTGTACATGGGTGTATTAGTGTACATTTGCATATGGCTGATGTGAATGGTTGTATGGTTGGTGTACACGGTCGTATGGTTGGTGTACATGGATGTATTAGTGTACATTTGCATATGGCTGATGTGAATGGTTGTATGGTTGGTGTACATGGTTGTATGGTTGGTGTACATGGTCGTATGGTTGGTGTACATGGTCGTATGGCTAGTGTACATGATCGTATGGCTGGTATACATGATCGTATGGCTAGTGTACACGGTCGTATGGCTGGTGTACATGTTCGTATGGCTGGTGTACATGGTCGTATGGCTGGTGTACATGGCCATATGGCTGGTGTACATGGCTGTATGGCTGGTGTTCATGATCGTATGGCTGGTGTTCATGGTCGTATGACTGTTCACGGTCGTATGGCTGGTGTACATGATCGTATGGTTGGTGTACATGGTCGTATGGCTGGTGTGCATGGTCGTATGGCTGGTGGGCATGGTCGTATGGCTGGTGTACATGGTCGTATGGCTGGTGTACATGATCGTATGGTTGGTGTGCATGGTCGTATGGTTGGTGTGCATGGTCGTATGGCTGGTGTGCATGGTCGTATGGTTGGTGTGCATGGTCGTATGGCTGGTGTACATGGTCGTATGGCTAGTGTACATGGTCCTGTGGTTGGTGTACATGGTCGTATGGCTGGTGTACATGGTCGTATGGTTAGTGTTCATGGTCGTATGGCTGGTGTACATGGTCGTATGGCTGGTGTACATGGTCCTGTGGTTGGTGTACATGATCGTATGACTGGTGTACATGGTCGTATGATTGGTGTACATGGTCGTATGGCTGGTATTCATGGTCCTATGGCTGGTGTTCATGGTCGTATGGCTGGTGTACATGGTCGTATGGCTGGTGTACACGGTCGTTTGGCTGGTGTACATGGTCGTATGGCTGGTGTTCATGGTCCTATGGCTGGTGTTCATGGTCGTATGGCTGGTGTACATGGTCCTATGGTTGGTGTACATGGTTGTATGGCTGGTGTTCATGGTCGTAAGGCTGATGTACATGGTCGTATGGCTGGTGTACATGGTCGTATGGCTGGTGTACATGGTCCTATGGTTGGTGTACATGGTCGTATGGCTGGTGTTCATGGTCGTATGGCTGGTGTACATGGTCGTATCGCTGGTGTACATGGTCCTATGGTTGGTGTACATAGTCGTATGGCTGGTGTTCATGGTCCTATGGCTGGTGTTCATGGTCGTATGGCTGGTGTACATGGTCCTATGGTTGGTGTACATGGTTGTATGGCTGGTGTTCATGGTCATAAGGCTGGTGTACATGGTCGTATGGCTGGTGTACATGGTCGTATGGCTGGTGTACATGGTCCTATGGTTGGTGTACATGGTCATATGGCTGGTGTTCGTGGTTGTATGGCTGGTGTACATGGTCCTATGGTTGGTGTACATGGTCGTATGGCTGGTGTACATGGTCGTATGGCTGGTGTACATGGTCCTATGGTTGGTGTACATGGTCGTATGGCTGGTGTTCATGGTCATCCTCAGTGTGGTTGTGATACATGGCACCCTCAGTGTGGTTGTGATACATGGCACTCTCAGTGTGGTTGTGACACATGGCACCCTCAGTGTGGTTGAGACACATGGCACCCTCATCAGTGTGGTTGACACACATGGCACCCTCAGTGAGGTTGTGACACATGGCACCCTGTGAGGTTGTGATACATGGCACCCTCAGTGTGGTTGTGATACATGGCACCCTCAGTGTGGGTGTGACACATGGCACCCTCAGTGTGGTTCAGACACTTGGCACCCTCAGTGTGGTTGTGATACATGGCACCCTCAGTGTGGTTGTGATACATGGCACCCTCAGTATGGTTGTAATACATGGCACCCTAGGTGTGGTTGTGATACATGGCACCCTCAGTGTGGCTGAGACACATGGCACCCTCATCAGTGTGGTTGATACACATGGCACCCTCAGTGTGGTTGTGATACATGGCACCCTCATCAGCGTGGGTGATACACATGGCACCCTCAGTGTGGTTGTGATGCATGGCACCCTCAGTGTGGTTGTGATACATGGCACCCTCAGTGTGGTTCAGACACATGGCACCACGGCCGGCCACTGGTTGCATGCTGACATTGGCCTCTCTCTCACACTTAGATACTCAGTGCACGCTTGACACAGACTGCCCGCCGGCTCAGGCATGTATCAGTGGAATGTGTAAGGATCCGTGCACGCTGCGAGGCGCGTGCGGGGAGCGAGCTCTCTGTCATACCGTGGCGCATGCGGCCATCTGCTCCTGCCCACAGTGTTATGTGGGTCGGCCGCAGGTTGCTTGCCGCCCAGATCCCGCCTGCGCCACGCCTAGGCCGCCCATGGAGCCGCCCCTGGTGGGCGGGTGTGGGCGCGACGGTGACTGCGGAGAGAGTCGGGCGTGCGACGCCTCACTTCGCACCTGCTACGACCCTTGCTCCCGCGGCTCCTCTGTTTGCCAAGCTAATAAAGTGTGTGAAGTCAGGAAACACAAAGCTACGTGTATATGCAAGTATGGCTTTGTTGTCAACTCAGTGGGAGAGTTTGTGTGTGCGACAGGACCCATTGATTGCCGTGGCGACGACGATTGCGCCAGCAACCTGGCGTGTGTGAGCAACAGATGCACCAACCCGTGTGGAGTGGGCCGTCCCTGCCCACCCAACAAGCAGTGTGAAGTGCTCAACCACCGACCCGTGTGTATCTGTCTCAAGGATTGCACACCATCCATCACCATCTGCCTTAGGGACGAAGGGTGCGCTCCCACGCAGGCCTGCGTCTCCTACCAGTGTGTGGATCCCTGCGCCTCGCATGGCTGCCCTGGGGACACTCCCTGCTACGTTGAAGACCACAAGCCTCTGTGTAAATTCTGTCCACCAGGCTTTACTGTCGATCCCGACTTTGGCTGCGTCAAAGGTAAACCAGGGCGCTGGATGGCCCGCTACTTGTCTATTAACCCGACTGAGCGGTGGTGGACACTAGTGGCTACTAGTCCTGTGGTAGACAGCCACTTCGACTAACCTCCGACGTGGGACCTTCCGCCAGATGGTTCCTCTCTCTCTCCTGGACCTTCTCTCACCCGCTCAGTGACGTCACACTCGCCCTCTCATTGGTCAGCTATAGGCCAATCAGCGGGCATGCATCACGTCACTGATCAGATGATCTGTCCATCTGAGGGAGAATCATTTCTGGCGAACGTCTTCGGAGTAGACTAATATACACTCACGTCCTACAAACTTGTTTGCTAATGTCCAGTTATATTAATCAAGCGAATGTTCATTTGCAAGTCAACTTATTAACTCACACTTCAAGGTGGATCCATAACTTCTTGGTTATTTAATGAACACTGATGAGAGATACAAATTACCCTCACAAAGACGAGCTCAGGTGTTGATCACCAGGAGAACTGTGACCGTGACAGACCTTGTGACCTTAGCTCTTCACTGTTTACTGTTGTCACAGCCTGAAAACATGCAACATAAGTAACCCCTTCATATTAACTATATTTTATTCACATTTTCATATTTTGCATGTGTGTCCACAGACATCGATACTTCCACCCCCTCCACCCCCTCCATCACCACCACCAGCAGGTCCACCACGACGCCGTGTCGCAGTGATGCTGACTGCGGCACGACCAAACATACGTGTCTCCAGGGGCACTGCACAAACCCCTGCCTGGACGCCTGTGGGACACTCCATTGTTCGGTCTTTACACGCCCAGATGGCCTACTCAAAATAAACTGTGTCGACACAGTCAAAACCTCACCCACTACCACGCCGCCCCAAGACTTCGGCAAGACATTAAGACCTAAACTTCCCACTAAAACTGTAGGCTTCTTTCCCGACCAACCTCACGACACAAAGACCTTGACCTCCTTCACAACTCCGATCCCTCACACCTCCTCTAGGACACCTAACATTCCCGCAACAGGTAAACAACCAATTATTGTCATTAAAAGACCTGCAACAATCCCAGAGATCCCCATTATATTTGCGACTGATACACCAGTATCTCCAGTAACAGAGTCATCTGTCCAGCCTTCTAGCAGTCCAGTATCCCCAACAAGACGACCCAGGCCATCTACACCCCCTCCACCTTCCACACCAAGACGCCCCTTTTTCACAACATCCCAACCACTCACCACAACACAGTCATCATCACTAGCCACTGACACACACACGAATCAACCCCACACAACACTACCACCATCAGACACGCAAGTACCGACCCAACCTCATACCCTACCAGCACCACCAGTGCCAGCTACGGACACACCGTCAGAGAGACCTCCAATACGCTACACCTCTAGACCGGCTACAAAGTTCCCTCCAACGAGACCCACAATACCTTCAACACTACCAGTCACAACGCCACGACCAGTCACCACTCCCATCCCAGACACCCCTGTACTTGCCACCACCTCCACGCCGTCAGTTCCTAAAACATTGTCCCGGGTGCCGAAGAGCTGCACAAGTAGCGTGGAGTGTCCCAGGAACTTGTTGTGCCAGAACAAACGTTGTATAGACCCATGCAAGGTGTCCAGTCCATGTGGTAGTGGGTTTGTGTGTCAGGTGATAAGTAACAGACTAACATGTCAGTGTCCCACGGGGTCTGTCCAAGGCTCCCGGTGTCCCCAAGGTAATATGTGCCCCAAATCCTCCCCTTCTATGTTCAGCTTCCAGACTCGCTTGGATGGCCAGTTGCCGCCTCAGCCAAATTCTCAGCCAGCACTTACAAAGTTCCTAGGCTGGCAGCCCCTGTACTGACAGCTAGTAAAGTGCTTGCTGAGAATTTGTATGCCCTTGTTTCTTCCTGGAGCTTTCGGAAATTTCTAAATTTGTGGGTGTAAGATGGTTTTTTTGAGACCCTAGTGGACCTGCCCGAGATGCAGCGCTCTTGTGTGAGATTCAGGCACTGGTGGAACCCACCAGCTTGTGTAACCTTTACACTCTTGGTCAACACCCTTGACCAAGGCGCTTGTGGAGGGAAGGTCCGCCAGTGTTAATACCCTCCTCTACGAGGTTATATATGCCTCTTCCCTCCCTCCCTCCCTCCATGAGGTCTTCCCACCTTTAACATCTTAAACACCCTACTGATCCCCACTATAAACACAAAACTGCCACTGTTATTTCGTCTTTTTTGGGTATGAATGTTATATGTGCCAACTTGTGTGGTGCTATCAGCCTTCCATGTCTGTCAGCCTGACAAGTGTCTTCATCTGCTTCCTCGTGAAGTTGCTTTCAATACATTTTCTTTAATCCCGTATTCTGTGGCTTCTGACGAAATGGGAGACGCGGCTGTTACTTAACCCAGTACTAAAAGCCAAGAATCGCTACTGCTGTTGCTGTTATTATTGCTGCTTCTTGCGTAACCTTTTACTCACCATGTAGGCTTATTTGGGCTTTTATTAACCTCGTGAAGGATGCACAAGCCTTCACCCAACGCGAAAATAACAACAAATGCTTATGATGGTACAAATATTTTTGTTTGCCTGTGTTTGTGTTTGCTAACCATTTGTACTGGCCTGCGTTAGTGTACCGATCCGTGTCTGCTTGTTTGTTGTGGCATAGTTAACCCACTCTAGACGAGAATCCACCTTGTGGGGTAAACCAAGAGGGAGTATACCTGTGTGGTTTACCATGACTTAACATGGAGGTGTGACTTCAGGACTCGAAATGACCTGGAAGTTAACACACTCATGCATATCAGTGGTTGACTTCTGGTTTATCTCCTGCTCGTTTATCCCAGTGGCTGCCTTTTGGTTTACTCCTTTGGTTTACCTCAATGCACTTTGTGGTATGGTGCATGGGTTGGGCGAGCATGTATTGTTTGTATGCAAGTATGCCTGAGTTTGTTTGTCTTTGTTAATTATGTGTTTTTTTTTCACAGGAACAAATACATTTGTTTGGTTTACCATATAAGAACACTGTTAACTGTTACCCCCCTATTTCTGTGTCACTCTGTTAACCTGTATCTCCGTACCCCTCCGTTAACTTCCCATGTGTCTCTGTTGGCTACCTCGTTACCCTACCCAGTAACACTGTTAATAACAGACTAGAGAAACAGTACCTAACTATTACTAGTAATTAACAAGCTTCTTGTGGAACGATCGCCCAGTCTAGAGATTTACAGAATACACAGAGATCCCCCAGGGTTAAGGGATTAGTGATTGGAGTATGGGATTAAACCGCAACACACATGGATTACATTGGATTAATACAGTATGCTTCTTGGATTAGAGGGATTAGGATATTTGCTCATCCACGAGACACAGATTGTTCGTATGCTTTTGATGTAGATAAAACCCAGAGTGTTCACTTGTTCTGTAGAAGAATGTAAGCATGTTCGTCAGTGTTACAGCTGAGCACCAGCCTGTTCATTTGTAGTTTATACTGCTTGTTCGACAGTGTTACAGCTGAACACCAGCCTGTTCATTTGTAGTTTATACTGCTTGTTCGACAGTGTTACAGCTGAACACCAGCCTGTTCACTTGTAGTTTACACAAATTGTTCAAGTGTTACAGCTGAACGTGAGCCTGTTCATGTGTATCTAGCATAACACTTGTTCACTTCTTAGTTCTGAACAAGATCCCTCCATTTTCCACACCCCCACCTCTCCTCCATAGCACAGTATAGAAGTATAGCTGCACAGTACTGCACTGGCTTACTTCACCCCCAGTTTACACCACACCGAACAACACGATGGAAGACTTAACTACAAATCAAATTTATAACCATAATTAACAAAGTTTTTCCACATTCTGAAATATTTTGAGATATAGTCTTGAGTGTGAGGAGGCTTAGTTTGGTCTCCTACCATACTCAGGACGAAGCTTGGTGGGTCTGGGCATGTGCCTGGCCAGGGACCCACCAACTTGTGATGAGCATTTGCCGAGAGATAGACAATCAGTCGTCTTCTTGGCTATGACATATAAATGCTCGGTGGCCTCCCTGGCCAGCAGCATGCGCCATCGACCTCCAACCTTCAGCCAAAGTTCAATTCTAAAGTACTTTCTCTCCATCTTCTGTATCATCTTGCTGCCACACTTCCTCATTCACCTGAACTGATGTGTGGTGACCTGTGTTGTGTGGCTGTGACCCCGTGATGACCCTGTGTTGGACGAGCAGCTGTTGGGTGCCGTGATGACTCTGAGTGTCCAGCTAGCCAGGCATGTATCAACGAGAAGTGTCTGAACCCATGTGTGGCTCGTAACCCATGCTCTGCCAAGGAGGACTGTAAAGTGGAGAACCAGAGGGCCACTTGTCTCACTGGTAAGTGCCGGCACACGGTGCCAACACTTCATCACTGCTTAATAGGCACAAGCATCTTTTCAAGGTATTTATCCACCTATTTGCACGTGTATTTGACTTGGCACTTACCTTTTATAAGTGTTTGGTGACACTTTAAGTAGTGTAAAGTGTCAGAGTAGTTAAGTAGTTAACAGATGAGATCAAAATACGGAACATTGTACAACTGAATATCTTTCTATATCTTTCCTTTCATTATTTTTGTCTTTACTTTATGTTGGTGTTTTGACTTTGTTATCTTGTTTCTGCTATTTTCTTGTTATTATTTATCCATATTTTCATCTGTAGTCAAATTTCTGAACTCTTGTGATGAGAGAATCAAGAGGCAAGTACCTTGTTCTCTGTCACTTAGTACAAACTTAAAGTATAAATCCCAGGCTCTTGCTGCTGGTTTCCCTGAGAAGGTAAACCCTTCCCTCCCTTCCCTGCCATGAATGTAAACCTTTTCTTCCCCACCCTGCCATACAGGTAAGCCCTTCCCTCCCCACCTTAGCATGGGGATACATTCCTCCCCTCCCCACCCTGCCCTCTTTTCCATTACCTTCATGAAACTTGTGGGTCTACGAGTGTGTCAGTGTCCCTTCCTGCGATAGTCTTCCCCCTGTAAGTATCATGTTTCCCCCACGAGAGCCTTGGCTTACCCCTCATCCCCACAACCTCCTGAAATACAAGGCCATGATTGGCTAACTGGAAACCTCCTCCTTCCCCTCCTTCTCCTCCTGTCTCTGCTGCTGGTGGTGGTGCTGGTGCCCCGTCTTGCTGTACCTCCCACAGTCGGGTGTCGCAGCAACACTGACTGCCCCAGCGAGTACGCCTGCTACAACAAGGAGTGTCTCTCTCCCTGTGAAGTACGAAGTCCTTGTTTCACCTCTGAGAGATGCGAAGTTCGTGATCACATCCCCTTCTGTATCTCAGGTATTATCTCCTGGCCCTCTGTTCCTGCTGCTGCTGCTTCCCCAACCCCCCGCCCCCAACCAACCCCAACTACCATACCCCCAACGTGACGCTAACGATATTCCCTGCCGCCTCGTTACAAACTCCCATTATCAACTGACCTTGCCACTCCCATAGCGATAATTATAACGCATATAACTCATTAAAGAAATGCAAAGCTAACAGAGAATTAAACTTTGTATTTTTTTTATTAAGACGAAGTGTATTGGTGTGTTCCTGAAGGGAAGGCCGTTCCTTCCTCCTCTCCTCCCCCTCTACCCTTACTCCCCAGCAACCCCCCCATTTATCTGCCTTGCCTTCCCCTCCTCCACCCCCTTTCCCCCAGCCGTGCTGCCGTTCCTTGACTAGTTACTCCCTAACCATCTCCCACCACCCCTGTGATATTCCCAGACCAGTCTCCCACCACCACCCCTGTGGTATTCCCAGACCAGTCTCCCACCACCCCCCCTGTGGTATCCCCAGACCAGTCTCTACCAAACACCCTGTGGTATCCCCTGACCAGTCTCCCACCACCACCCCTGTGGTATCCCCAGACCAGTCTCCTACCACAACCCCTGTGGTATCCCCTGACCAGTCTCCCACCACCACCCCTGTGGTATCTCCAGACCAGTCTCCCACCACCACCCCTGTGGTATCCCCAGACCAGTCTCCCACCACAACCCCTGTAGTATCCCCTGACCAGTCTCCCACCACCACCCCTGTGGTATCTCCAGACCAGTCTCCCACCACCACCCCTGTGGTATCCCCTGACCAGTCTCCCACCACCACCCCTGTGGTATCCCCTGACCAGTCTCCCACCACCACCCCTGTGGTATCCCCAGACCAGTCTCCTACCAAAACCCCTGTGGTATCCCCTGACCAGTCTCCCACCACCACCCCTGTGGTATCTCCAGACCAGTCTCCCACCACAACCCCTGTGGTATCCGCAGACCAGTCTCCCACCATCACCCCTGTGGTATCTCCAGACCAGTCTCCCACCACAACCCCTGTAGTATCCCCTGACCAGTCTCCCACCACCACCCCTGTGGTATCCCCAGACCAGTCTCCCACCACAACCCCTGTGGTATTCCCTGACCAGTCTCCCACCACCACCCCTGTGGTATCCCCTGATCAGTCTCCCACCACCACCCCTGTGGTATCCCCTGACCAATCTCCCACCACCACCCCTGTGGTATCTGATTCACCCTGGATACAGTCTCCCACCACCACCCCTGTGGTATCCCCTGACCAATCTCCCACCACCACCCCTGTGGTATCCCCTGACCAATCTCCCACCACCACCCCTGTGGTATCCTCTGACCAATCTCCCACCACCACCCCTGTGGTATCCCCTGACCAATCTCCCACCACCACCCCTGTGGTATCCCCTGACCAATCTCCACCACCACCCCTGTGGTATCCTCGACCAATCTCCCACCACCACCCCTGTGGTACCCCTGACCAATCTCCCACCACCACCCTGTGGTACCCCCTGACCAATCTCCACCACCACCCCTGTGGTATCCCTGACCAATCTCCCACCACCACCCCTGTGGTATCCTCTGACCAATCTCGCACCACCACCCCTGTGGTATCCTCTGACCAATCTCCCACCACCACCCCTGTGGTACCCCTGACCAATCTCGCACCACCACCCCTGTGGTATCCTCTGACCAATCTCCACCACCACCCCTGTGGTACCCCTGACCAATCTCCCACCACCACCCCTGTGGTATCCCCTGACCAATCTCCACCACCACCCCTGTGGTATCCCTCTGACCAATCTCCCACCACCACCCCTGTGGTATCCCCTGACCAATCTCGCACCACCACCCCTGTGGTATCCTCTGACCAATCTCCCACCACCACCCCTGTGGTACCCCCTGACCAATCTCCCACCACCACCCCTGTGGTACCCCCTGACCAATCTCGCACCACCACCCCTGTGGTACCCCCTGACCAATCTCGCACCACCACCCCTGTGGTATCCCTGACCAATCTCCCACCACCACCCCTGTGGTACCCCTGACCAATCTCCCACCACCACCCCTGTGGTATCCCCTGACCAATCTCCCACCACCACCCCTGTGGTATCCTCTGACCAATCTCCCACCACCACCCCTGTGGTATCCTCTGACCAATCTCGCACCACCACCCCTGTGGTATCCTCTGACCAATCTCCCACCACCACCCCTGTGGTACCCCTGACCAATATCTCCACCACCACCCCTGTGGTATCCCTGACCAATCTCCCACCACCACCCCTGTGGTACCCCCTGACCAATCTCCCACCACCACCCCTGTGGTACCCCCTGACCAATCTCGCACCACCACCCCTGTGGTATCCTCTGACCAATCTCCCACCACCACCCCTGTGGTATCCTCTGACCAATCTCGCACCACCACCCCTGTGGTATCCTCTGACCAATCTCCCACCACCACCCCTGTGGTATCCTCTGACCAATCTCGCACCACCACCCCTGTGGTATCCTCTGACCAATCTCCCACCACCACCCCTGTGGTATCCTCTGACCAATCTCGCCCCACACCCCTGTGGTATCCTCTGACCAATCTCGCACCACCACCCCTGTGGTATCCTCTGACCAATCTCCCACCACCACCCCTGTGGTATCCTCTGACCAATCTCGCACCACCACCCCTGTGGTATCCTCTGACCAATCTCCCACCACCACCCCTGTGGTATCCTCTGACCAATCTCGCACCACCACCCCTGTGGTATCCTCTGACCAATCTCCCACCACCACCCCTGTGGTATCCTCTGACCAATCTCGCACCACCACCCCTGTGGTATCCTCTGACCAATCTCCCACCACCACCCCTGTGGTATCCTCTGACCAATCTCGCACCACCACCCCTGTGGTATCCTCTGACCAATCTCCCACCACCACCCCTGTGGTATCCTCTGACCAATCTCGCACCACCACCCCTGTGGTATCCTCTGACCAATCTCCCACCACCACCCCTGTGGTATCCTCTGACCAATCTCGCACCACCACCCCTGTGGTATCCTCTGACCAATCTCCCACCACCACCCCTGTGGTATCCTCTGACCAATCTCCCACCACCACCCCTGTGGTATCCTCTGACCAATCTCCCACCACCACCCCTGTGGTATCCTCTGACCAATCTCGCACCACCACCCCTGTGGTATCCTCTGACCAATCTCCCCCACCACCCCTGTGGTATCCTCTGACCAATCTCCCACCACCACCCCTGTGGTATCCTCTGACCAATCTCCCACCACCACCCCTGTGGTATCCTCTGACCAATCTCGCACCACCACCCCTGTGGTATCCTCTGACCAATCACCCACCACCACCCCTGTGGTACCCCCTGGTTACTTCCCAACAAATCTCCCTTAAATTTGCGGACTTATCCTTCACCCGACTTACCCGTCGTCCCCCCCTACCCCCCTGTCCCTTGCCCCGTGCCCCCTGCCCCTGTCTTCCCTATTGTGTTGTCCCTTATGTTGTTGGCTGTCGCATATCACAGCATACTTGATATGTTGTGTACAGTGCTATACGTATTACCTCATATTGTGTACAGAACTGTACCCAGTGTACCTTGTATACTGTGATGTGTTGACAGCCTCCTTGACCACTATTCTGTCAAGTAGTCAGTAGCCTCATATGCCAATCCTTGCCATTAAATTGCTATACATTAACTTGCTGCCTAATAATAATAATAATAATAATAATAATAATAATAATAATAATTATAATTATATAGACCGTAACTGATTACTAAGCTTCTCATTTCTAAGTTTCTCGTCTGTATTAACTCTAGTAATACCAGCAGTAGTATAAGTATTGGTAGATATTAATCTTGCAACAGTATCTCGTACTAAAGGTTGGACGTCTTCCGACAATACAGGACACTTGTGATGACTGTCTCAGGGACAACAGGACTCCACTGTCACCACAGTTACATTCTCACCACTCACACTTCTGAGTTCATTATATAGGTCATTTTTATTTTGCCCAGAATAAGTTGTGTAGTGTGAGGAGTATGTTTTAACTGGCCTGTGGTGGAGGCCTTGTCTCCTGGCAATGTTATTGGACGTTATTGGTAAACTAGTGCCGACACCCACACCGCTACACCCACACCCACATCACTACAGCCACACTCACATCACTACAGCCACACCCACACCGCTACACCCACACCCACATCACTACAGCCACACTCACATCACTACACCACACCCACATCACTACACCCCACATTCACATCACTACAGCCACACTCACATCACTACAGCCACACTCACATCACTACAGCCACACTCACATCACTACAGCCACACTCACATCACTACAGCCACACTCACATCACTACAGCCACACTCACATCACTACAGTCACACTCACATCACTACACCCACACCCACATCACTACACCCACACTCACATCACTACAGCCACACTCACATCACTACAGCCACACTCACATCACTACAGCCACACTCACATCACTACAGCCACACTCACATCACTACACCCACACCCACATCACTACAGCCACACTCACATCACTACAGCCACACTCACATCACTACAGCCACACTCACATCACTACAGTCACACTCACATCACTACACCCACACCCACATCACTACAGCCACACTCACATCACTACAGCCACACTCACATCACTACACCCACACCCACATCACTACAGCCACACTCACATCACTACAGCCACACTCACATCACTACACCCACACTCACATCACTACAGCCACACTCACATCACTACACCCACACTCACATCACTACACTCACACCCACATCACTACACCCATACCACTACACCCACACCTCACCACCCTTCGCTACACCCAGGGTACTTTCCTACGCTCACATCTAACAATTCAAAGATATAAGAGTATAACTAGTTACCAACAATCACCCAGACTGGTATGATATTGAAATGTAGATAGTGGAGTGTACCAGTCAGATTACACTGCCAAACAGGCCACTCAGATGCACTGCTGAGATGTGCCACTCAGTAATATCCTTCAGAAACTATTAGTCAGGAGGATGTTACACCTATGCACCATGCTGTTACCTTCCTCATTCACACAGTAAAGAGGTGGGGCCAGGAGCTGTGACTCAACCCCCTGCAACCACAAACATGTGAGTTCAAATGGGTGAGTATACACACACACACACACACACACACACACACACACACACACACACACACACACAGGGGCCAGGAGCTGAGTCTCGACCCCTGCAACCACAATTAGGCGAGTACACACACACACACACACACACACACACACACACACACACACACACACACACACACACACACACACACACACACACACACACACACAACACAGTCAGATACCTCCTTAAACAGTAAATAAGTTCTTTAAGGACTGCTTGCCAATGAGACAGAGGATTAAGACACTGCATTAATAATGACAGAAACAGACAGACAGTGACATAAGAACTAGCATGAGACATGGGCTGCCATTAGCTAGACGCTGGGTAGCCCCCGGTCTGTGGGCTGTGGTCTGAGGGAGTTTGTGCCTGGCAGACCCAGCTTGTGTCCGGGACGCTGACTGCCTGCCTGACCACGCCTGCCTCTCCGGTCACTGCATGAACCCCTGTCTCATGACGGACGCCTGTGGCCTCGACGCTGACTGTCGTGCCGTCGGTCATCTCCCCAGCTGCACCTGTCCCCCAGGATACACCGGCGACCCCAGGAAAAGGTGCTCCCTCCTACCCTCCTCAGGTAACTCTCAGGGGACACTTAATGTACCTCTCCCACTGTCTCAGTCCCTCGAAATGATTAGCTTGGGTGTACCTGCGTCCAGTTGCTCCTCAGACTCCCTCTCTCCCAGGGCATGTCTGAGATCCCAAGCTGCTAGAAAGATCTTTGGGAGGAGTGTAAATACATTGCGGAATCCTGCCATGATATGTGAGGATCTTGTATGATGTGTGAGAATCCTGCATTATGAGGATCCTGCCATGATGTGTGAGGATCCTGCATGATGTGTGAGGATCCTGCATGATGTGTGAGGATCCTGCATGATGTGTGAGGATCCTGCATGATGTGTGAGGATCCTGCATGATGTGTGAGGATCCTGCATGATGTGTGAGGATCCTGCATGATGTGTGAGGATCCAAGTGAGAGTGTTGTCCATCATGGAGTACAGGGACGTGTGCTGGACTGTGATATTTTATGAGTTTAGGACTTGTGTTGGACTGGACTGTGATCTTTCATGGAGTATAGGGACTTGTGTTGGACTGAACCCACAACAGACATGCGACGCAAACTTGTTATCACTGTCTTACTAACATGTTGAGTTGAGCACGTGCAGAGTATTGCTACTAGTGTTGCTGCTGTTGCTGCTGCTCTCGTACTAGCCGCATGGCTCACCATCCTAACCTCTAGTGAGTAAAGCTTTACACCTGTAAGTATCCTAGAAGTTAGCCAAGTGTAAGTGGGTGTAGGCACTGTAGGTGTATGTAGGTGTATAAGAACATAAGAAGGGAGGAGCACTATTTTTAGTGGTACTCAATGAATAGGGTTTGATAACCCTATTGGGTTGTGGTCTGGCCAAGACTGTCTAGCTGGTCTAGCCTGCTGTCTAACTAGAGTAGACCATATATTCACTTATGATTGATGTAGCGCCTGGCTGACTCTCGGTGCCTGTAGGTCCAATACAAGGGAGAATGTA